GTACGTGGGAACTCTCTGTACTTGCCGGTCAAATTTGCTGTGAACCTGAAACTTCTTTAAAAATAAGACTATTAAATAAAAGTAAGTGATCCATTTCAGTTTTCTGAGAGAAAACATTTTTTAACAAGTCGACTGTTTACTGATCCCTTCTGACCCTGTTAGTAGAAAACCCCAAGTGGAAATCGAATGCGATTGCGTAGTCAGTGCAAGGTGAAACCCTGGATTGCGGGATGGCTTAAATGCTTCACACATGTGTCAAAGGTCAGCTGCTTTAGTTACAGCGTTGGTTCTCTGCCCAGCACAGCAATAAGGGTGGCATTTTCAGTGGCACCAACATGGGGTTATCTTTCCATTCCAGACACATGAATCACTCTAGGTATTGGAAGAACAACACGGTGACTTCTCCCTAAGGAAAGGATTGCAGCATGCCTCCACACGTAGACAATGAGATCGGAAACACTCAATTATACACATGTGGAAAGCAGCAATCTTATCTTACCATATCTCTTCCAGAAGCCTGGGATAAGCAGGAGACAACATGCAAATGTCACACTACTTTCACTTAGCAGAAGATAAATGTGATAAAATGGACATTTCATAAGACATAATCTGAGTCCCCTGTCCCAGAATGCGCTGATTCTAGTCTGAAATGCATGCTGTTATCCAACCCTTGAAAACCTGTAGATTGGTTCTCAACCTTCTGGCCCTTTAAATACAGTTCCTCACGTTGTGACCCAACCATAAAATTATTTTCGTTGCTACTTCATAACTGTAATGTTGCTACTGTTATGAATCGTAATGTAAATATCTGATATGCAGGATGGTCTTAGGCGATCCCTGTGAAAGGGTCATTCGACCGCCAAAGGGGTCACGACCCACAGGTTGAGAACCGCTGCTTTAGAACCTTTCCCTCCGCTCCCCTCCCTTCCCTTCTCCCTTCTCCTCCTCTAACCCTCCCCGCCTCTCCTTTCTCCTCCTCTTCCTCTCTCCTGGCAAAATGAGAACTATAGAATCATAGGTCATTTATAGATGCTTTAACTCCATCAAGCATTAATCATTTTCTGTAGACTATAGCTCCTTCTTGTAGACATCCCTTAGATAGAACTTTTCCCATTCTCTTGGTTTAATTGTTTTAAAGGTGAAAATTGAGCTAGACTTTAAATTTTTTCAGACAATTGTTGTCTGTGTAAAATTCTTCCTGCCTCTCTTACTCAGAAAACTGTTCTCTCCTTCAGCACCGCTCCCCCAGCCCTGCACCGGGAGGGTTTCTAGGAGCCCTCTGAGTGCATACCCCCCTTTCATTCTTTTCAGCCATGGCTCAACTTAACTACCCGAGAGCTTGCCTCTTGCCAGCTGGACTGTGGGGAACTTGAAGGTTGAGACCTAGTATCGTTACTGGCATGAGGGAGTGAAGAATGAATAATGGGAACAACTTTCTTGTTGAACAGAATTCAGACCATGCAAGTTTAAAAAGTTGGTGTAGATCAGTTTCTTTATAGGTAGAGAGCTTGAACTACCTGTTCAAGGTTTCTCAGGCTCCTGTAATATATCAGTCACTTTTTCTCACCAAGATTTTTTCTCTGCTATGTTAAAGTATATAGACAGTTACAAAACTAATATAACACCCAAAGTCCGACCAACTATAAATTAACAGAACCCTTCATCACATTCTCTTTAAGATATAGATACAAGTAGATGCTCTTTTCATTAAAAAGGGACATTTCATGGGCCAATCATGAGCTTGCTGCCTCTCAGCTCCATTTACTACCCTTTCCCCCCTGCTCTGTGAAAATGGATGTGGGTCCTTTAAATATTTCCCCCTTGCCAGCTGGAACAGTACTAAACCTTGTCAGGAGAGGGTGCAGGAGGACAGGGTCCTGCCTCCCAGTCCAGGTGTGCTCCTGCAGCCCAGTGGACGTCCCCAGGGCCCAGCGCCCACAGAGCTGGCAGCTTCTCCGGGGCTCTGCACGGAGAGCAAGGCAGCAGCAGCACCCATGGCAGCAGCCTTCCCTGCACCCAGAACATGTGGGAACTTTTGTAGCTCAGCCCTTCCCCTTGAACAGCTTTCCCGGGCACCCTCTAGGGCAGATTTCCAACAAATGTGACCGGAGCAATGCCACATCAACCTCTCTCCCATCCAGCAAACCACAGCCTCGCCCTCTCGACAAGACCTGGGCCTCAGACCTGTG